AGTTAATTTCTATGCCCCCTTAACCTAGGTTTTCTGGAATAATGTTCCTCTTTCCTCATATTTTACACAGCTCTGGAGGCTTTGATGATGGCAGACTGTGTCTTTTACTATAATCTGTTTCAAATCCTTCATGGAATTTGGCAGGGTTTAATAATAAAATTACTGAAAAGCCCCCTTAGACTCTAATCTCCCCCAGAAAAGAGATTAACTTTAGAGCCACAACTTGTGACCATCTCTCCTGCCAGAATGGGCGTCCCTCACCACCTCTGCTGAGGTCCTGGCTCTCTTTCTTGGATCAAGGAAGACAATGCCTCAGCAAACAGTTATTAAGAGCACACAAAAGCAGTGCGGGCCAGTGAGAATCAGCGGCACTTGCTGGGCAAGTCTGACAACCCAAGTCCCATCTCTGGAGCAACATAAAGGCAGGAGGAGAGAAATGACTCCACAAGTCATCCTTTGACCTCCACTCCTGCACATGTACCCCCACACATGATGACAATGATGACAACAAGGACACTGATCCAAAAAAGAAAACAAATAATGAGATTTGGCCAGGAAACAAGGAGAGCAAGCAGCAATGAGGAGGCTAAGTCTGAGGCTGGGAGATGGAAAAGATCCCTGAAGGCAGGAGGTAGGAGCGAGCACAGCTGACTACAAGGAGAGTCCCAGAGTTGCCCAGGGCCCCTCACCCTTCCACCACCATCATTAGAACCTTAAGGCACTGAGATCCACAGGTGGCATTGAAGTCTTGCCTGGCTGCTTCTATTACTAGACCACGCTGCTGCAGATCATGCCTGAGGAGAAGCTTTACGTGTATGCAATTCTGTCCACTCCAGACAGCATGGCTGCAGAGCACCCAGTTGGCCTGAGATGTGGCGTACTAGCCAATGGTGCCACCAGAGGCCACTCTGTTGGAGAACTGAGGAGAATGACCTGCTCAAGGTTTAAGAGGATCCCACAGGCTGTGCAGAACAGGGGAGAGGCCAGGGTCATCTCACCACTAAAGCCTTGGCAGGAACGAAACTGAAATAAGCCACAAAGAAAAAGCCACTGGAGGGAGAGAGAGGTCAGGAGTGGGTCCTTGGCCACCAGAGGCTGGGAACGGTGACCACCTCACAGCAGCACCGCTATACAGCCTCTTCTCAAGAGCTGCATGCATCCCTCCCAAATGCAGTCCTGTCACCCCCCCCCCCCCAGGAAACGCTGTTATAGAGCCCTTAGTCCTGACCTACCAAAGCATTGTACCCATCCTGAAGTAGCAGCTTCTTTGATCCCCACTTGGTCTTCAATAAAGTTCCCTGCAAAGGTTTGTTATGTAGGGCCATCATTACCTGCGCTGGCATGGTGGCAAATGCCACCCTCTACACCCTCTGCAGGTGGCTCAGCTGCCGGTGGTCACAGGTCCTGCACCTTCAGTCTTGTGACAGAATCTGCTAGGAACCTTATGATCCCTTCTTTAAATACAGAGTAACAAATGAGGCCAGGAGGTGTCCAGGGGCAGTGCTGCATGAGTGAGCAGGGGTAAGCTACCTGGTAAAGTGGGTACAAGGTTTAAGACCAGTTTCTGCAAAGGGAAGGGCAGGAAGGACCAAAGTCCAGTAACAGGAGAGGGTATGGCATGCACTTTGGGGACTGAGTTGCGCTTTGGGATTCCAACTCGGTTTCTCCCCACCTATTGTGCCCTTCCTACAGGGTTGGCGACCCAGACAGCTATTAGTCCTAGCTCAGACCTCTGGCTCCCTGGCCAACTCTCTCAAGCAACCAAGTGCTCACTAATTTCCACTGGCTGCTGCTAGATTAGTCAAAACTAGTCTGCCTGATCTCTGTGAGCCCAAGATGGCTGTCTGCAAGGACAACAAAGAGACTCTGGGTTTGCCTTTCGCATAGCATTAAAAAAAAAAAAAGTTGGGTCACGCTTGGAAAGCCACAGAAAGTTGTCAAGAGCTCTCTCTGGGTTGCAGCCCTGAAATTAGAGTGGCCATGCAGGATGGTGGTCATTTTACCACTATAAACGCTGTCACTCTGGTTCCCTTCCCACTGGTCATGTGACTGTGGCCACATATGGGTCCTCCTTGAGGACCCTGTCTATGCTCACACCCATGCACAGCACATAGTACATGCTTATGTAGGGCAGCATAGGTGTTCCTTGTAAGAGCCTGTTCTGGGGCTGGAGAGATGGCTCAGAGGTTAAGAGCACTGGCCACCCTTCCAGAGGTCCTGAGTTCAATTCCCACCAATCACATGGTGGCTCACAACCACCTATAATGAGATCTGGTGCCCTCTTCTGCCTTGCAGGCATACATGCAGACAGAACACTATATACACAATAAATAAATCAAGAAAGAAAGAAAGAAAGAAAGAAAGCCAGCCCATCCTCCAAGAAAGGACCCAGTAGAGACTAGACTAGACTACCAGTTTCACAGACAAGAAACAAGAGGCAGAAACAGAAAGCAGTGGGGCTGTGCTCTGCACAGGGCTTGCTCTTCACTTTACTGTGACAGGGCAGCCAGCCTCTTGTCACTCATGACCATGAGTCTGAGACACAATACAGTCATTTTCTAGTGTGACCAGCAAGCTAGGACAGACTAACAGCCATGCACTGAAGGAAGGCAGATGGCAGAGGAGAGTCAGGGAATGAGTGGCCAAACACTGCCAAAGTACCTTTGCTCGCTCTAGCTCTCAGCAGAAGAAAGAGCGTGCACTGGGAGCCAGGGCCACCATGGTGCCTTCCTCCCTCTGGATCCCATATCCCATAGGGATCAAATAACAAAGGTAAGGCCCTAGCAGAGCAAGGGGTAATGATGGTGTATACACCTTTAAGACCAGCACTTGGAAGGAGACAGAGGCACTATCTCTGTGGGAGTTCAAGGCCAGCCTGGTCTCCATAGTGAATTCCAAACTATTCAGGGTTACACAATGAGATCTCATCTCAAAAACCAAAACAAAGCAAAGCAAAAGTGAAACCCTGTACAGGCCCTGCTTGGATACCCGGGAAACCACATCAACTCAACCTAGTCCTTCCCAAGTTTTCTCTCTGCTATTACCTCCCATCTCCATCTGTAGCATCTTGTAATTTCTGTGGGCCAAAGTGCCCGCGTCAGCTTTATCCAGGAAAAGACTGCCCAAATGAATGGGTGTGCTTAAAACTCAAATGTGTTCCTGAGTACCACATGGCCAGTCACCAGTCTGGGCTCCCTGCGCAAGGACAGAGCACGCAGCTCTTCCTAGAAGCCTCCACTAGGTTACCAAGGTCCCAGGAGAAAGGATGGTGGTCTGACAGACTAGCAACATGCTGTGCAGAATCACTGAGGGCTGTAGCTACAAGCCAGAGGGCGAGAAGTGACTTTTGGAGTGGAGCATGGTGGGGATAGACCTTGACTTTAGTTCTTCATAGTGATTCTTAGCTATACGAGTCCTACCAGACCCCTTGCCCTCTTTGGTTACAGATGGTACCACAGTGACAGAGCCGAGCCGACCACCTGAAATCTTGTGAGGTAAGGGTCTCTGAACTGACTCTAGACAGCCAAACCAATCCTGAACCTCCCCACCAGAGACCCGTCCTAAGGGGCACTGGCTGCTCACTACTGCCCTCCGGCATGCTCAGTCATCTGCCTTGTTTCCCTGACCGGTGTCCACAGGGGTGGAGCTGGTTTGTGCCCTATGCCCCAAGCTAGAGAAAATCCTGAGCTTTGCAGAAGCAGAACGGAACAGGAGAGGGGCTTGGCAGGCTTTCTCTGTCTCTTCCTAGAGATGAGGCAATTATGCTTTGAACCAGAAGCGATGGGGGTGGGGGCTCCCATCAGCACAGCCTGGAAGCCCTAATTTTTTCATCTGTAACTCAGCATTACCACTTGTGGGGGCGGGCAGGAGCCGGGATCTTTAATTCTGTAATAACAATGCTTTACACTTACACCAGCCTCTCTCCTCCAGGAGTCTCCATACCCTATGGGGGTTAATTAAGAGGCCACTTGCCCTGCCAGGAAGCCTCGACAATGTGCCTCACAGTACCCGGCCCCAAGTGGATGAAGAGCAGTCCCTGAATAAGGCCAGGCTGGACAAGGTTCTGGACCATTGCCCCTTCCTGTCATTGGGGAAAAACTCTGACTCAGCAGAGAAATCGTGGCTGCAGGCCATTACTACTGTGCAGACAGGATGAAGGTGTGGCCTCACACCTCTGTCTGTCTGTCTGTAAAGTGAAGCCTGTACCTGAGCCAGTCAGTCACCCAGGTAGCCATAACCCCTGGCCATCTCAGGAGGAGAGATCCATGGCCCAACTGTTAAGCCCTAGAGTAAAGGCTGCTCAGGTCTTTCTGATGGGTTAGGAAGAGGGGGTGTCAAGCAAGGGGAAGCCCCAACAGAAAGGAGACGCTGGTCGAAAGACCCTGGGGTTCTACCATCCAACAAACTTCCCACAAAGTGAGTGTACAAAGCAGAGGGAGGGGGAGGTATGCTCTTTCCATTAGCCGGCCAAGCTAACCATTCTGGGGTAAGGGTGTCTCAGGGACAGCACAGACCCCGCCCCACGCCACAGCCATCCGGGTGGGGATCCGGGAGCACAATAGGGTAGCTCTCCCAGAGAGTTTTCTGGGGGAACAGTACAGACCTTCCCACCCGTCAGCCGGCCTAGCTGACCTGGGCATGGGTTTCCAGGGAGTGACAGAGCCCTCTCCTCGGTAGGCCTGGCCACTCTGGGAAGAGGTCGGGAGGGGAGGGAGGTGCGCGGACCCCCGCCGGGCCCACTAGTCCCAGGAGCTCTTAAGAGGCCCACAAACACCCTCTCCCCAGTCCAGCCGTCCTGGGGAGCTTCCCGCGGGGCCAGCATGAGCCTTGGTTCCACTCGGCTCTCCCAGGAAGAGGTTGGAAAAGCAGGATCAGAGAAGTCGGCTAGGGGGCGGTGCCCCCATCCTCTTCCCCACCGCGACCTGAGAAGGACCTCCGGCGACCCCCGGTGGCCCAGGCCTGCCGCGGGGGGCGCGGCGTCTCCGGCGGTCAGCACTCACCGGCACGGTCATCTTGGCCGTAGCCCCCGGGTCTCTGCGGCAGCGGCGCGGGCTGGCTCGGGGCTCGGTGGGCCCGCGCCGCTCTCAGCCCCCGGCACCGGATCCCGGCGCTCTCCGCTGCCTTCAGTCGGCTCTCAGCCACCGGACAGTCCGGCCGCTCCCCCCGCGCCGCGCATGCGCCGCCTGCGCCTGCCCCTCCCCCTCTCGCCGGCTCCGCCGCCGCCCGCGTTAAAGGCGAGGACCCCGGACCCCAGCATTTTTCTGTCGGCACAACAGGGAAAGGAGGCCGTGTTCCCACACCTTGCCTGTCCTTCCTAAGGCCACCTCCAGACGTACTGTTAGAAAAAAATCCCATCCGGTCCGCCCACCCGGTTCTGGAGCCCAGAATCCCCACCCCTACGCAGTACGTTCCTTGGTGCGGGTCCCAAAGCTCCTACTCCCCAGGTCTGAGCAGATAGATAGGGCAGAGACTGGTCTGGGTGAAGGCGATCTTAGATCAGCTAGCAGAATTCCTCTGCACCCACTCCCACCCCCGCCCCAGCTGAGAGGGAGCCTAAGGCTCCTCCAGGGCCCACTCGATTCCCAAAGGAGCTCCAGGACTCGGGGCAAACAGTCTGACTTAACCTTGGGTCCCCCTGAAAGAGAAATTTGGAGTGACTTTTATGGAGGGTCGCATAGTGGGGCCCCCTACCCAAGACTGGAAGACAGGCAGTCCTTCGGAGAGCTGAGCCTTCCTTTCCCCCATGTTAATCACCCCTAATTTCTTCAGCTGTTTCACAGCTGACACGGTGCCCAAACATGCACCTGCAAGCAGTGGGCACATGAACACTGGTCTTCAGACTGCCCGCCACACCCTTGCTGTTTTCACCTTTCTCTCAGTGCACTGAGACTCAGATCCATCAGCTACCCAAAGGCTAAGAACCAGCGCTCTGTTCCGCTGCCCAGCCACGTACAGCTCGTCGCTGCTCCACAAGATCTCTTACTGGGCAAGCCAAATCCTGGATAGTTAGTGGCTACTGTTCCCTGGGTAGGTGGGTTGGTGAGCGCATACCTACACCAAGTGGGAGATGAACTCCGTGGGCATTGTCTAGAAGGTCAATCTACCGCTTTCCCGAGGTACACAGCCTGTTCCAAAAAGCTGCTTGGCAGCCAAGTTCGCTCATGAGAGGACCTAGGGGACGAGAGCTTCAGCTAGCCCGCTAGGAAATTTGAAGTATTGTACCGAGAGACAAGAAGGCTGTGGCTGTTCCTCCTCCTCCTCCTCCTCCACCACCTCCTTCTCCTTCTCCTCCTCCTCCTCCACCTCCTCCTCCTCCTCCTCCTTCTCCTCCACTTCCTCCTCGTCCTCCCCCTCTTCTTTTTCCTCTTCCTTCCTCCTTGTCTTTCTCCTCCTCTTTGTCTGGTTTATTTTTATCTGAGAATGTGTTTGTGCATCCATGTATGTACACCATGTGTTTGCCTGGTGCCCGCAGAGGTCTTGAAAAGGGCATGGGATTCCCTGAAACTGGAGTTACAGAAACTGTCAGCAGCCATGAGGGTGCTGGGAACCAAGCCTGGGCTCTCTGCAAGAAAGTGCCTTTAACCACTGAATCATCTCTGCAGTCCCAGGGACAAGCGTCTTTGTCTTCCAGGTGTACAGTGGTTGAAAGCCCGAGTGATTGGGGGAAGACACGAGGGTCGTATTTGACTTCCTCAGAGACTTAGGGGTGGATCCCCTAACTTTTCCCCATAAAGTGGAGGCAACCTTAGTCCCCTTAACCCCTAGGTAGATTCTGAGGACGGACCCAAAATGAGGAGAAATATTCGAGAAAGGAGCCATCAGGTCAGCCACCAGACCCAGGTCCTAGTTCTAGGTCTGATGAGGTCCTTCTCTGCTTTGAATAGGGTTCCCCTGTACCTGTTGGGTAGCTGTTCCCAGTGCTGTGTAAGGTATTGCTAAGAGAGGGCAGACAAGGCCACAGCAACCAGAGGGGTGCCTGGGCCGACAGCTGCCATCTCCTCAAAGGGCATTCTGTGTGTGTCTGGCACATGGCCCTACCCGTGCCCACCCGCCCGCGCCCAGCTGGCACCCGGGCTTCTGAGCCGAGAACAGCAGCTCAGCCTGGCGCCTGGGCTCCAGGCCACACGCGCCCGAGGTCTCGGAACCCCACCCCTCCAACCCAGGCTCCGCCTCACCTCCTTCCTTTTCTTTTTCTTTGGCCAGGGAAATGCGGAGACTTCTGGCTCCTCTCCTTTCTGTCTATTCTAGGTGTCTAGGCCAAAAGTCGGGTAGCAATGGGTAAAATACCCCTTTCACACTAAGGGTACTGGGATATGGGGACTCGGGATAGCAGCACACGTCGGGTCGGGCTTTGAAAGACAGCTAGTCCTTGCCTCCGGCGTGGCGCACAGCAAACTCGCAGGGGAAAGGCTCTCTGGCAGATCCCGCGTTTGTTCTGGCAGAGATGAGGGACTTGTATGTGGGGTGTGAAGCAGCTGGAGGAGGCTCCCTGGGGATCTGACTATCCTGGATCCCTAGAGGCCATGTTCTTCCCTCACTTAAGCCTTACAGACAAATGATTCCAGAATGACTCACCAAGTTCTTCAGAGAACAGCCTGTGGGGATGTCCAGACCAGAAACAGCTGGACTGCCTGATGAAGGCGCCACGACAGAGAGGGTCCTTGAGGGCTGACCAGGACCCTCAGAGGAGGACACTCCCTCCGGATCACAGGGAGGAGGTAGCATACTCAGCTGTCCAGACTTCTGTTCCCTGGGCCTTGCCACGTCTTTTGGGACAGAGGCCTGGGAGGTGGCTTCTTTATTCCCCTCCCACTTTTATCCGAGGACTTCCGTGGTCCAGAAGTCTCTGGCCCCAGAGAATGCAGCGAGTCTTGGAAGGCCCTTTTCAGGCTCGGTGGCAGTTTTACCTCAGCATGGTACCTTTGTCACCATTGGAAAGCCTGGATTGCTTATTATGATGTTATTAACCAAAGTTCACACTTTCTTCAGATCTTAGTCTGCCCCCCATAGTCCTTTTCTGCCTAGGACTCCTTCCAGGATCCTACATCATACTTGTCAGGCTTTCTGGGTCCTCCAGCCTGCGACATTTTTTTTTTTTTGACATTTGTTTTGATGACCTTGACATTTTTGAGGTGTATTGGTCAGGGAGTTTATCGAATGCCCCTCATTCTGTATTCATTTGACGATTTTCTCAGGATTACTTTGGGGTCATAGTTTTGATGAGGAAACCACACAGGTAAAATGCCACTCTTATTACATCATCTCAAGGGCGCATACCATCCGCATGGCTCACAGCCGCTGATAGTGGACTTTGTCCTCTTGACTGAGGCGGTCCTTGTGGGTTCTGCCACTGCTTTTCAGAAGGAAGCCGGTGCACACAGACCTTGCTTGTAGAGGGCGGGTAGCGCTCTGCCTCCCTTAGGAGTTCCTATTTAAAGTACTCGGAATTTACTTTCCATATGAGAGAATTTGCCTCCACATACATTTCGATCATTTAGCATGTGGGCCCATGAATGTTGCTTGAGACAGGGTTTCTTGTATCCAGGGCTGGGCCTGAACTTGCTACATAGCTAAGGATGACCCTGAACTCCTGATCTTCCTGCTGCTGCCTCCCTAGTGCTGGGATCACAGCCAGCACTGTCACTGCTGGTATAGCCACACCACCGCTCTGATCCTTGTGCTGCTCTCACAATTCTGTATTATTAGTGCTGGGAATTCAGGATCTCTGGAAGAACGGCAAGTGCTCTTGACCCTGAGCCATCTCTCCAGCTCCTAGTTTATAATTTTCTTGAGTTCATTTATTATTTATGCTGTTTTTTCTTACAGTAAATACTTTTTTTTTCTTGTATGTATGTCTGTGTGAGGGTGTCAGATCTTGGAGTTACAGACAGTTGTGAGCTGTCATGTGGATGCTGGGAATTGAACCTGGGTCCACTGGAAGAACAGTCAGTGTTCTTAACCACTGAGCCATCTCTCCAGCCCCAGTAAACACTTTTTAAATTATGGCAAAATACAAATAACCCCAAACTAGCCAGTTTCATCAGTGCTTGGCTTTCATTGAACTCATCTAATAATTCAGGAAATTCTTTCCACCTCAAACTCCTTAGTCATATATACAAAGTGCCTTTTGCCTTCTTAGGTATAGACTCCAGATTAGGAGAGGATGAATCTGAGGGTCACAGTCAACTGACCACAGGGAGGCTCAGGCACTGTCCTTGCTGGACCAATCCTCTGTAGTCACCCACGTGTCCCAGATACAGAACATTCCCTGACTAAGGGGCTTGAATGGCTCAGCAGAGCTCTTTCTCCCTCACTAGGCAGCGTGCCTGAACTCCTACCAGTGCAGAAATCCTTCACTCAGGGTAAGCATCATCTCTCACTGTTAGGGAAACAGCTACAAAAGAAATGGCTGGAGCAGGCCATCGGACAAGAGGCCCAAGTTCCTGTAGCAACAGATTCGTTTGACACCCAAATTCCAGGAATGTTCACATTTGAAAAATTCTCACAAGTAGTCTAGGAAACGCAGGCTATCTTAGGACTTACATCTTCAATAACGGACATCAGTTAAATAGCTCATGGGTGGCTACTGCTCCCATTGGCAACCTGAACCTGGGAGAGAGGGACCTAAAAATAAGGTAGACTGAAGTCTCATGCAATAGCCAACTTTATTCAGAGCATCGGACAATTTATACTCTAAAGAATCACCTGAGTTTCAGTCACAAGACAAGCCGCAGGAGGCAAATAAACAAATGATAGCCAGCGTATTGAATAATCTTGATGGAGGAAGGTCATTGGTTAATTATAATAAAGAAACTACTTGGTCCTCATAGGTTAGAACATAGGTGGGTGGAGTAAACAGAACAGAATGCTGGGAGGAAGAGGAAGTGAGGTAAGACGCCTCAGACAGAGGCCATGCTCCCCTCTCCCAGGCAGACATGATCGATGAAGCTCTGACCCAGGATGGACGTAGGCTAGAATCTTCCCGGTAAGCGCACCTTGGGGTGCTACACACATTATTAGAAATGGGCTAGTCCAGGTGTGAGAGTTAGCCGAGAAGAGGCTAGATATAATGGGCCAAGCAGTGTTTAAAAGAATACAGTTTGTGTGTTGTTATTTCGGGTAAAGCTAGCCGGGTGGCGGGAGGCAGCCCAGCCGTGTGGGCAGCCAGGCACCAGGAATATA